TCTACTTTGCCTCTTCCTCCTTGCCAACACCCCTGCCTTCACTGAGGTGGGGAGATGGGCTTTGTGATAAGTGTCCCCCGTTTCCTCAGGTGACCAGCACTTGAATGAAACCACGTTCCTTTTCACTGGTATTTGTCTCATGAGTTCGTTTTTTCATGGTGGCAGGCAGCAGAACTTGGGCGTCGGTTACAATACCTTGGTCACTTTAAAAGCTGTGTGGCCTTTGCTTCTGATCTGTTAAATGATACAATCTGGTGAATATGCTATAAAGACCAGAAAGAATATCTGTGATGAAAAGAAGAGCCATGTGCTAAACCTGACAAGCTCAGGGGAGGCCAGCACGGCAGGCCCTACGAACTCAGGGACCAAGAGTGACCACATAAGGTCAAGGACAATAGGGGGTGGGGGCATGAGTGGGGAAGGGTGGAGGATTGGAATGGGGGGGGAGGTGGTTGAGGACAAATATGTGATACCTTAATCAATAAAGAAATTTAAAAAAAAAAAAAAAGAGTGATCACATAGGATGGTCTGGGCGTAACAATTCCTAGCTAAACTCGGGTCAAGGTGGGTAGTGCCTTCCTAGGCCTGTAGCTTCCTTGACAAAGACCAACTTTGAACCTAACTGAGGCTATTGTCTTCTTGCATCTATGATAACATACCTTTGGAATGTCTGGGTAACGTGTATCAGGACACAACCAATGCACCAGGGCAAAGCCACAGAGTCCTCATTGTTGTTGTTATCGTGCTAATTGCTGACTGTTAACTATCCTGTCCCCACCTATGTACAATAAGTATGTGTCTATCATTTTACTTCTTTATCCAATCCCTGAGTTTTCCCCATTTTACTTTCTCCTCCCTCCCTAATCTATCACCAATGGATTTTGTGTAACTCACTCGAGTCTCCTCCTTTAACAGTAATTTATAAAACTAGGTAAAAACCCGCCATCCCCGGGGCATTAGCTCAAAACATAGAGATTCTGCTTCCCAGCAATAGTCCACAGTTTGGCTCAAACAAACTCATAAAAATTCTCTACAATTTCTTCAAAAAACATTGGCGACATTTCTTACATTAACATATCCAAAAGGGCCTTATGGTGTAGGCCTCCGGTGAATGGAATCTATGATGAGTGTTATGGACGGACGGAGAGTCCGTCCACCTGGCGCTAGCAAGGCCAAACACAGAACACCGAGAACAGCAGTGGGCAAATATTGGCTAAGTGTTTTTACTGTGAATGGTGCTGAGAGGGCAGGGCAGGGCTAACTCCTGATCCTCCATTTTGTATGTCATTGTATAACTGGACCCTAGCCCTCACCCAACCAATCGGGGTCAGCCAAAGCAGTGACATCACCACCCCTCCCCCAGATCCCTATAAAACCCTTTGATCTGTTGAAGCTCGCTCTCTTCCACCACGCCTCTGTCTGTGTAAGTGGGACAGAGCTCGGGCTAGCCCTGAATAAATGGCTCTTTTGCTTTTGCATCGGACTCGGTTCCGTGGTGGTTTTTGGGGATCATGAAATCTGGGCATAACAGTGCCACCCAGGAGAACTGGAGGCTAACACTCACAAGCCCAAACTGCCTGGTGGTGTGTAGGTTACAGACGCTATAGGGCCGTGGTCGGCAAACTCATTAGTCACCAGAGCCAAATATCAACAGGACAACGACTGACATTTCTTTTGAGAGCCGAAAACCGACTTCTGCGCATGGGCCACGACGTTTCAATTGCACTGTACGTGCATACCCGCACGTGGTATCTTGTGGAAGAGCCACACTCAAGGGGCCAAAGAGCCACATGTGGCTCTCGAACCGAAGTTTGCCGACCACTGATATAGGGCAAAATCACAAGACACCATAGGTTAGGGGTTCGGTGTTGTGCTGGGAGCTTGATCAGAGGCTAGATAAGGGTAATAAATAATTTGGGGGGAGGGGTTCAGAACAGTCCTGAGGGCGGAAGTCCCTTTGTCTGGTTTTGTGGGAAAGTAGCCGAGGAGTCATCCCTTTAGGGCTCAGAGGCCGAAACTCACCTTCCGTCCAGATGGTATCTTCAGCCTGTGGAGGCCCAGACCTTGTGATCATGTCAGCTCTGGGATACTATCTCCTGCTGCCTGGGGGTGGGGTGGGTGGGGTTGCTGATTATGGGGGCGAGGTGAGGGCCGCCTAGCTGTCTCCGAGGGATCTGAGAGAGCTAGGCCAATAGAGATTATAGATGAATAGATGTGTGATGAATAGATAGATGAATTCTAGAGCTAGGATTTTAAGTAAGGTGACCAGACCTTATATAGATATCGTGTTTCCCCGAAAATAAGACATCCTCCTAATATAAGACCTACTTACAGGTTTCCTTCTGAGTGAAATATAAGGCATTCCCCCGAAAATAAGGCCCGCCTAGGCTAAACATGAGAGATTTGGTCCACTGATTCTGAAAGAAATGGAGTCACAAGAAATTCACCAGGAAATTCAGGAATTGGATTGTTATGATGATGTTCCAGAAGATGATGACATGATAGTCATTGAATAAATGAGTAAATTCTTGATACTGTAGGATTCACAGTTTGTCTGGTTTGTTTTGACAACTACCGTACTACCGTACCATATACAGGTAATAAATTTCCTTTATTTTCATTTAACAATAAATGTGTACCATATTCTTCTTCATGGAAAAATAAGACATCCCCTGAAAATAAGACCTAGCGCATCTTTGGGAGCAAAAATTAATATAAGACACTGTCTTATTTTCGGGGAATCAGGGTAGATGAATTCTAGAGCTAGGATTTAAAGTGAGATGAGCAGACGTCCTCCCACTATTGGCAGGACAGTTCCGATTTTTATCAATTTGTCTTGCGTCCTGTGGTGTTTTAAGTAAGGTGACCAGACGTCCCGCTTTTGGAGGGACCCAAAAGCGGGACGTCTGGTCACCTTAATTTAAAGCTAAATTTAATCAAAGTCATAAAGACCCTGGGTTTCAGGAGGAGAAGGAGGAGGGCTGGCAACATCTCTCAAGCGTGAGCAAGGCGTTCAAACCACTCCACTCCTGAATAAAGGAAGTGGTTTGCCTCCCAGCACTTCCTGTGTCTTTTGGTTTTCACAGAGCTCAGCTGGGCCTAGTGCCTGGATTTCGGTGAAATGGTTCTGGGGAGACCAGGCTGTGCATGTGTCTGAGTGGGAAAAAATGGGGACCCTGCACCCTGCTCCTGTCCAGGAAGCATTGGGAGAGGAGGGCTGGACCTCTGAGATTCCCCCCCCTCCGGGGGGTTCCAGCATTCTGCCTCAGTTTCTCTGATTTCTCTCTGAATGTGGCATCAGCTGGGCACTTCCTGAGCCAGGCACTGTACTAGGCTTAGGACTAGGAAGTCCAGGAAGGTCTGGTCTGGCCAATGCCACTTCCCTTCTTGGGGTTTGTTTCCTCCTTCACTAGAGGGGGTGGGGGAGTATGGGGCAGCTAGGGGGTTAGAGTGAAGATGCTAGATGAGCTGGGGTCACCTCCCACAGCCTTGTCTTTGCAGGTCTGGCTTTTCTTCTCCCATTCTGTCCCCACCCTTCCTGCCCCTCCCCACCTTTCCTAGGAAAGGGGCCTCTTCCATTCTCTCACCCACAGGACAGGCCCGGCCCTTCCCAGCGCAGAGCGAAACCCATCTCCTCATTGGAAACCAAGACTCCTTCACTCAAACCCCAGGCTCACCCTTCCCTTAAGTCTAGATTAAACCTCTTAGCAAGCAGTTTTTTAAAAATTTATTTTATTGATTTTTTACAGAGAGGGAGAGAGATAATTAGAAACATCCATGAGAAACATCCATCAGCTGCCTCCTGCACACCCCCTACTGGGTACATGCCCTTGACCCCATGGAACCTGGGACCTTTCAGTCTGCAGGCGAATGCTCTATCCAGCGAGCCAAGGCTTCCCAAGCAATTTTAATCATAATTCAAAAACACCTTGTTATGGGCCATGCACCTTATGTAGGTTATTCCAATTAATAGTCACAAACACACTTTGGGGGGAGGGAGGGGAAATGCCAATTTGCCAACAAGAAAAACTGGGATAAAAGGAGGCTAGGCAACTAGACCAGGGTCACCAGGAAGTGAAGGCGCCCGCCCTTCCCCCCTCCTCATGCCACCCCGGGGCTGGCAAACTGGTCTACAGCGCCCTTCGACCCGGATCCCTTTGCTTCCGGATTCCCCCCCCCACACACACACACACACTCCCCCAGTTCCGCTCTGTCCACTCAGCCGGGTTTACGGCCAGGCCTAGCCTAGCGGCCCAGAGCAAACAACCGGATCCGAGCGCGTGGCCAGCCACCCCACCCACCCCGGGGCGCCTGCACCCCGCTCGCCAGGCAAGGCTGGCTGGTGCGGGCTGGAGGGCTCTGGGTCTGCTGCGGGGACGATGGGGTTCGGCGGAGCTCGGGTCGCCAGCGCGCGCCCGCACGGCTGGGGCTGGGGGCGGGGCGGGGGCGGGGCCTGGCCGGGTGGCCGCGGGGGCTGGGGGCGGGACAAAGGCCGAGGTGGGCGGGGCCTGGGCTCAGACAGGAGTGGGCGGGGCCAGAGCCGGGGTCAAGGCGGCGCTGAGGTCGAGGTTCAGGACCCTGGTCCTCGCGGAGCCCGGAACGGAGCCGAGGCCCCGGATCTGGGGTCGGGGCGCAGCCAGGTCCGGAGGGGACGTAGCGGGGCCGGGGGCCGGGCCTGCGGGTGGGGGCGGAGGGGCGGGAGAGGAGAGCGGGGCCGGGAGGCGGGAGCCTGGGGCCGGGCCGGGGGCGGGCCGGGGCGGGGCTGGGCGGGAACGGCTTCCCGAGCCTCCGAGGAGGAGGAGGGGAGAGGGGAGAGGGGTGCGGGGGGAGGGAGGAGGGAGGAGGGGACTTAGCGGCGCCCTCTCCGCGCAGTCTGCTCCGAGCACCTCGCTCCGCGGCTCTGCTCTGCGCCCCCAGCCCGGCGGGCATGCGCCCCCTGAGCTCCTGGCCGCCCAGAGCTCACGCCGCCCCCCGGAGCCCCCGAGAGCCGGCCGCGCAGGATGGGCGCCCCGGGCTCCACGCCGCTGCCGCCGCTGCTGCTGCTGATGCTGGGTAAGCCCGGCCCCTGCCCCTCCTCCGGCCCCAGCCCCAGCCCCGCTCGCTCGGCAGGTGCCTGCCCCTGGCGCCCAGCCCCGCAGCCTCCCCAGTATTTTGGAGCCCCTTGCATCCCGCTTCTTCGTCAGGGGCGCCCCCAGACCGCCCGGGATACTCAGATCCCAAATGCTGGGCCGCCTCCTCCTCCTCTCTGCCCCCCATTCCGCTCGGGCCTAGCCCGGGTGCCCGCTGTGCGTGGGCAGTGCCTGCCGGTCTGTCTTCGTAATTGCCCCTGCTTGGCTGCAGGCCCAAGGCCGCCCTGCCCTGATCTTTGAAGTGAGTCTCCCCTAATTGCCCTCCGAGGTTGGGCGGAGTTCCCTCCCCTCCAGCCTGGGCAGGGCCCCTCTTCGCCCCCCTGCCCCTCCCGGAGGACAGGCTCTGTGGCCTCCCACTGTGGTCACACGCAGGAAGCCCCAGCTTCCTGCCCCAGGAGGAGCCGGTGCTGGGCCCTCCAGGCACCCTGTGTCTGTCTGGTGGGTGTCCGTGGCGGGTGCCGGGTTGTTTTGGACGTGAACCGAGGGCTCCCTGAAGGGCCGTGGTTCTCCACCTTCCTGAGGCCGCGACCCTTTCATACAGCTCCTCATGGTGTGGTGACCCCCAGCTATAAAATGATTTTCGTTGCTACGTCATAACTGTGATTTTGCTGCTGTTAAGGAATCTGTAACGTAAATATCTGTGTTTTCCGAGGGTCTTAGGCGACCCCTGGGAAAGGGTCGGTCGACCCCACAGGTTGAGAACCGCTGCCGTAGATGATCCGGCAGGAGTATGGCATCAGGACAGGGAGACTGTCTGTCTGACTGAAGCCCCTGACATAAGAGCGCAGTGTGGGGGATGACGGTGAGGGTGGGGGTGAGGATGGGGTTGGGTGAGGGTGAGGGTGGGGGGAGTCTTGCCACCAGGATTGGGAGCTGCCACGGTCCAGGCGCAGGCTGACGGCACCGCTGGTCCACAGAGGCACCGCGCAGCCTCCCTCTCCTGCATGGCTCCCGGCCCCGAGGGAACAGGACGAGCCCTGGGTGGGAGGCAGGAGCTGTCACCGGGCCCGTTGCCTAGCGCGTGGCCCATTTTCCCCAGTGGGCAGAGTGCAGCGGGAGGCGCTCGAAGCGGTGCGCTGGGATGCGCAGAGAGGAAGGAGCCTGCCAGGCTCTTGCAGGCGTCTGGAAGACGAGGGAAATGAGTGGCTTGCCCAGAGAACACATCTAGTGAGTGCTGGGTCTGAGATTGGAACCCGGGTCTGTCTGACTGCCAAGCAAGTCTCTGCTCTCTCCCCTCTCCGCTGGCACAGAGAAGGGGCCTGGCTGGGGAGAGACCTGCCTGGGGGCTGGTTCCCTAGGGCTGGGGGTGTTTCCCACGGGGATCTCCAGCATCAGCGGTGTGGAGCCAGGAAAGTGGGAGGGGCCCTTCTGAGCAGAGTCTGCCTGGAGGCCATGGGAGGTGGAGGCTGGGACAGGTGGACACCAGGGAAGGTGTCAGCTGTCCCTCTTTACCAGTGAGTACCCCGATGTAAAGCACCCCAGGCAGGGCCCTCCTGAGTCGCACTGTCAGAGCGGAAACTGCTAGCTCTCCCTCATGTGGAAACTGAGGCCTGGGAGATGAGGGGACAAGCCCAGGCCATAGAGCTGGGGCCAGGAATGGGCTGAGTTCCAGTCTGCTCCCGAGCCTTAGAGCGACCACAGCTCTCCTGGTGGCCGGGCTGCGGGAGGAGAAGCGCCTGTGCAGGTGGGAGCCGGGGGGGGGGGGGGGGGGGGGCTTGGGAGGAGCCGGAGGACGGAGTTTGACGTGGACTCAGCCCCTGCCCTGCGGACAGGCCAGCAGCCGTGGGGATGCCCCTGGGAGGGGCCGTCTGGCTGGTGAGGTCTGGTGAGGCCACCCCTTTGGCCTCGCCTGCCTGGAGCTCTCCATCCTCCTCTCTGGCTTCGTTCCTCTGCGGGGACAGGTGGACACCATCCAGGGACCGTGGGTCTCGGCCAAGACTCCTGCCCTGCCTTTCTCCTGGGTCTGCCCCAGCCCTCCTTACCTGCTGGTGTCCCGCGATCTTACCTTTGGGGCTGGGACGGAAGGAAAGGAGGAGGAAGCTGAGCCCTCCAACCCCCAGGAGTATCTGCTGGGGCCGTGGGGGGGGGGGGAGGGTGTAGGGTGGCTCAGTTTGTTCGAGTGTGGTCCTGATAAGCCAAGGTATGGGTTCTATCCCTGCTCAGGGCACATACAGGAATCAACCAACGAGCGCAGTAATAGGCTGGACAGCAGATCGCTGTTTCTCTCTCTGTGTCTCCATCTCTGTCTCACTCTCTCTCCCCCTTCCTTTCTCTCTAAAATCAATGAATAAAAATAAAAAGAACGTTTTGGCCTCTCCCAGGAGAGAGACGTGGGAAGGGACAGCTGGGATTTCCTGTCTCTCTGTGGAAAGGGAGCCGTATATAAATGAATGCATATCATATGCAAACGAAGGCTTTTGTTAGGGAGTTGGGGTGGCGGGGGCACTGTGCATCAGCTGGACCAGCCTCTGAGATTGGCAGGCGCTGGGGTGGGGGAGGGAACTCCTGTCCCCAGAGGCCAGGGCAGAAGCTGGCCCTTGCCCCATCAGTCTCAGCTGCAGCCCTGGGGGGTGGGGGGTGGGGGAGAACAGTGAGCTCATGGCACAGCTGGGGGGGTGGGGGGGAGCGGGCATTGTGTGGTGAGAGACGGCTGGGTCTGTGCCCTGACCAGCTTGGGCCACTGGCTCCATTGTCCAGAGCCCCCTGACCCCGGTGTCAGAGCTGAGCCAACCAGCTCCTCAGACTAAGCGGGGCATATGGTCTCAGCACCTCTTGGCTAGAGGCTCTGCTGACCAGGCCGAGCAGGAGCCCCAGACGGGAGAGTGAGGAGCGGGTGGGAGGGTCAAGGTGGGGCTGGAACCAGGAAGTGTTAAAACGGTGTGGGGGGCGGGGGGCAGATGTTCTCCATTCTGCCCGTGGACACTCTGCCTCTGCCTCCCAGAAACGGGTATTTCTGGGTTCTGAGACAAGCCTGGCCGTGTCATCAGTTCCTTGCGACCCAGGTGTCTTCTTTCCCCGTCCTCAGCATTCTTCCCCTTTCCTCACACACGGTCCACACGGCTTACCCCTTTCCCCACGTGTCCCTTCCTTCCGGGGGCCGGGCAGAGAATGGTGCTGGCAGTGGAGGCAGGAGGGAGGGGAGGAGGTGCCTGGGGATCCAGGCCTTCCCAACTTCCCTCCTTCTTCCCCGCAGGAGTCGGGTGCTGCGCCCGGCAGGTGCTGGTCCCCCAGGGGCCGCTGTACCGCGTGGCTGGCACGGCCATCTCCATCTCCTGCAACGTCACCGACTACGAGGGCCCCTCCCAGCAGGACTTTGAGTGGTTCCTGTACAGGCCCGAGAACCCCGATGCTTCCGTGGGCATCGTCAGCACCCGGGACACCGGCTTCTCCTACGCGGTCTTCAGGCCCCGGGTGGCGGCCGGCGAGGTGCGGGTGCAGCGCGTGCGGGGCGATGCCGCGGTGCTCACCATCGCGCGCCTGCAAGCCCAGGACGCCGGCGTGTACGAGTGCTACACCCCGTCCACCGACGCCCGCTTCCTGGGCAGCTACAGCGGCAAGGTGGAGCTGAGAGGTACTGGGCCCTGGGGGGGGGGGGGGCATAAAGTCAGGGCCCGGGAGGAGCTTATCGAATCATCCCTTAGGCTTTGCCGCCGAGGAGCCTGAGGCCCAAAGAGGTCAGGTGACTCGCACAGAATCACTCAACCTGTCCGGTGGGCCGGTGGCCGCCCTCCCAGCCCACTGCTCTCCCCCCTCTGCGCTGCCTCCTGGGTCGGGGGAAGCATCTGCAGTGTCTGACCCCTTCCCCGTTCCCTGTCCGTCTGAATCTGCTCCAGTCCCGGGGCCTCTAGATCCCAGGTCTGGAGGAGGTGGGGTAGGAGGAGTGAGGCCACGTGACAGTCCCGCGCTCTTAAGACTCTTTGTCTTGGGAGAAGGAAGACAGAGCCACTTTTCTGAGTGTTTCAAACAGGGGTCAGCCCCACACAGGAGCGTGAGCTGGCACTGACCCTCAGCGGGTGTTTATTGAGCGCCTGCTGTGTGCCCGGCACTGTGCTCGGCACCGCTGAGCTACAGAGGAAAGGAGACACTGGGAAACAGATCCCCCACCCTCCGGGAGCACGGGGTCCAAAAATGGGCTGCCCGTGGGAACAGCGACACGGGCTGCCGGCCCCGGCCCTCCCTCACCCAGCTGTGCTCTCCAGTTCTTCCAGATGTGCTGCAGGTGTCTGCCGCCTCCCTCGGGCCCCGCGGCCGGCAGATGCCCACCTCCCCCTCCCGCCTGACGGTGCACGAGGGGCAGGAGCTGGCCCTGGGCTGCCTGGCGCGGACCAGCACGCAGCAGCACACGCACCTGGCCGTGTCCTTTGGCCGCGCGCTGCCCGAGGCCCCCGTGGGGCGGGCGACGCTGCAGGAGGTGGTGGGGCTCCGGCCAGACCTGGCCGTGGAGGCCGGCGCCCCCTACGCCGAGCGGCTGGCGGCCGGGGAGCTGCGGCTGGCCAAGGAGGGCGCCGAGCGGTTCCGCATGGTGCTGGGGGGCGCCCAGGCCGAGGACGCGGGCACCTACCACTGCACCGCCGCCGAGTGGATCCAGGATCCTGACGGCAGCTGGGCCCAGATCGCGGAGAAGAGGGCCGCGCTGGCCCACGTGGACGTGCAGACGCTGTGTGAGTGAGGGGCCGGCTCCACGGGCCCGGGGACCCTCGCTGGCCCTCGTCTGGCCAGGGAGCCATCTTCCGCGGAACGAGCAGTGCCTCCGTGCCAGGGAGGGCTCTCCCGTGCTCAGCGCTGGGGTGGAGCCAGGAGGGCTGTGGCTGAGGGGCGGGCCAGGCCCCCGGGCGGGGAGACGGTCACACCCCGGGAGGGTCAGATGGGTGGCCTCGAAGTGGCTGCCGTCCAGGGAACGGCAGTTGGGGCGTCCGGTGCCCTGCGCGCCCTGCTGCCTCCGTGACGCCTCTCCCCCGTGCTGTGTTTCAGCCAGCCAGCTGGCGGTGGCCGTGGGGCCCGGGGAACGCCGCATCGGCCCGGGGGAGCCCTTGGAACTGCTGTGCAACGTGTCCGGGGCGCTGCCTCCACCGGGCCACCACGCCACCTACTCCGTGGGCTGGGAGATGGCCCCCGCAGGGGCGCCCGGGCCTGGCCGCCTGGTAGCCCAGTTGGACACGGAGGGTGTGGGCAGCCTGGGCTCCGGCTACGAGGGCCGGCACATCGCCATGGAGAAGGTGGCGTCCAGAACTTACCGGCTACGGATGGAGGCCGCCCAGCCCGGCGACTCGGGCACCTACCGCTGCCTCGCCAAGGCCTACGTGCGAGGGTCCGGGGTCCGGCTGCGCGAAGCGGCCAGCGCCCGCTCCCGGCCCCTCCCCGTGCACGTGCGGGAGGAAGGTGAGGGGCGAGCCGGGCATGCAGATCCCTTTCCCTCCCGTTCCCATCCATGCCTCTCCCTTCCTCACTGCCTCCCTGCCTTCGTCTCACACTCCTCTTCTGAGGTCGGGGGGACCCCTTGAATTTCCCGGGGTGTTGCTTGGACAGCGGTCCTGACCCCTGACCCTCTGATGCCGTGGTCCCTGTGTGCAGGCGTGGTGCTGGAGGCGGTGGCGTGGCTGGCGGGAGGCGCCGTGTACCGCGGGGAGACGGCCTCGCTGCTCTGCAACATCTCGGTGCGGGGCGGCCCCGCGGGGCTGCGGCTGGCCACCAGCTGGTGGGTGGAGCGGCCTGAGGACCCGGAGCTGAGCTCTGCGCCCGCCCAGCTGGTGGGCGGCATGGGTCAGGACGGCGTGGCGAAGCTGGGGGTCAGGCCCGGGGGAGGCCCCGTCAGCGTGGAGCTGGTGGGGCCCCGAAGCCACCGGCTGAGGCTGCACAGCCTGGGGCCCGAGGACGAAGGCATATACCACTGCACCCCCAGCGCCTGGGTGCAGCACGCCGACTACAGCTGGTACCAGGTGGGCAGCGCCCGGTCGGGGCCTGTCACAGTCTACCCCTACCTGCATGGTGAGTGCCTTCCACGCCACCCTCCCTCCTCACCACCTTCCTCCAGCCCCAGGCCCTTCTTCCCCCCTTCCCACCTGACCCTCCTACTGCTCTCCCTCCTCCTCCCCGCACCACTTCCCACAGAGAGTCCTGAAAACCCAGCCCTCCTCCCCCAGCGCCCATCTGCCCAGGCCCCGGAGGTGGAGGTGGATGAGTGCAGAGAGGGCAGGGATGGGCTGGGGGGCTGTCTGTCTGGGGAGGAGGTGCAGACAGCTTGGTGAAGAAGGTGCTGGGACTTCAGGGAGACAGAGCGTGGGGGGCACCCAGGCTGAGCCGTTCTCTCTCCGCCCCTCAGCCCGGGACACCCTGCTCATGCCCCTGCTGGTGGGGGCAGCCGTGGCCCTCGTCACGGGCGCCGCCATCCTGAGCACCATCACCTGCTGCTTCATGAAGAGGCTGCGGAAACGATGAGCCCTGCCCCCGGCCCAGGTGAGGGAAAGCACCCGCCTTGCCTTCTCATGCCCTGTGAGCTGCTTGCTCCTCGCCTCCTCACCCCCCTCCCCAAGGAGGAGCCAGCTCACAGTTCTCCGCAGGACTTTGTGAACTCCGGGGTGGGGATGGAGGGAGGGCCCCCCCCCCCCCCGGGGTCCCCCTTAGCTCACTCCACCCTGTCTCTGCAGGTGTCACAGGTGTTGAGTGTCTTCCAGCCCAGCTCCCAGCCCACCTCTGGTCGCCCGGACACCCTCTCCCTCTGGCCGCTCTTCCTTTAATTTATTTGACCTGCCCCCGCTCTCAGGGGGGGCCTGGCCTCCACTTCCTCCAGATTCCTCCCGCTGACTCCGTGTTCCATCTCTCACACACACCCTCCAGGGGGGCCTTCCCATCCCGGCTCGTTTTTCTAAGATGTGAATAAACTTGTTTTATAGAATCCAGGCGTGGCGTGTCTTCCCTGCATTGCGCCATAAGAGACTGGGGGTGGCAGAGGGCTGCTGGGGGCCGACAACCTGTTCTGGGTGACCCAGGCCTCTTCCCACCAGACACCATCTGGCCTCCGTGGCCGTGCCGCCAACCCAGAAAGGACACCTGGGCCCCATCTGCTGCCAATTCCTATTGGGGCTCCTGCTCAGGGTGGGCACAGGCAGGCGAGGGGTCCCCTCTCCCAGCTTCTCCTGGGGTGTAGGGCACAGGCTTCCAGGGGCCAGTGCCCGGCTGGGTTCCCGGCAGCGCCTGCACTCTCATCCTGCTGTTCCCACTGGTTCCGCTGGACCCGTTGCTCCTGGACCTGACTCCTCCCTCCCACGGGCCCTGGGGCCTCAGCAGATTTCCTGGGATCTCCATCATTCTGTCTGCCAGCAGCGGAACAGAAGCGCCAGGCCCAGCTGGCGCCGCTCAGGGGTTGAGCATCAACCTATGAACCAGGAGGTTGGTTGATTCCTGGTCAGGGCAGATGCCCTGGTTTCGGGCTCCATCCCCAGCGTGGGGTGTGCAGGAGGCAGCCGGTCAATGATTCTCTCATCATTGTTTCTATCTCTCCCTCTCCCTCTCAGAACCCCTAAAGAAGCCCCAGAGCACAGCACTGCTCGGGCGGCGGGTACACAGCAGCAGGGAAGGCCTGTGTATCCATAGCCCTTGCATGTACCCCCCCCCCCCGCCCCCAGAGCCTCAGGCACCCCCAGGCCTTGCCTCAGCCTCTGCCTAAGGGCTCTTCAATCTTAGCATTCTTACTACACTGCACCGCAAAAGGCAGTCCACTCTTTTTTCTTTTCTTTTCTTTTTTTATCATTACATATGTATATAACTTTTTCTCAGTCTCTCACTTCAGTTATTTAAACATTTATTGAGCATGACTGGTTTGCTAAGTGCTGTTTTTACAGATGGGGAAACTGAGGCCCAGAGAGTGAGGTGACTTCCCCAGAGTCATAGAGCTAATCAGTGCCAGTGCCAGGACTAGACCTAGGTCTCCTGACTCCTTGCACTGTACCCAGCGGTGCCGAGGGGCGAGGGCAGGTATGGCGGGGTCTCAGTGCCTTCCACCCCGCCCCAGTGTCTGCCCATTCAATCGCAATGGATTAACTACTGTGTGTGTGTGTGTGTGTGTGTGTGTGTGTATACACAGCCCACGCCCTCCTGTACAGACTCCAGTTTTTCATGGAATGAAACCCATCCTGCATCCCTACATTTGTTCTTCAGTTGGCACTAGGGTTCCAGGATCTCACTTTGATGGACGCTGACTCTGGTGGCCCTGTGACCTGCAACATCCTTTCTGAGTAAGACCTGAACTGGTGTGGACACCCGAGACCCACATTTCTGCTTCCAGGAGGCACAGGACCTCGGCTTCCCAGCCTGGACTGGAGCAGACTGGTGTTTCCCCCAGACTTTCCTTCAAGGACAGGAGAGGGGTGTGGCCAGTGTCGGAGAGCATGCCTGGTGGGCACACACTGTTCTCTCAGGAGACCAGCCTCGGTCCTTGGAGCTCCTTCTCCACTTGCCATTGCTCTCCCCTCGCCATCCTGGGGGGCTGCCCTTGGGATGACGCAGGAAAGGGGTGAATGTGGCATGGGAATGGCCCTGCAGGGGCTCCCGTCCCTGCTAGGCAGAGGCAGGCCACAGACACAGCCGGATATTGGATGCCTCACTTCTCTGACATTCTCTCCTTTACATGATATAGAAGGATGTATCTGGTGTGTTTGTTGTAGCATCGTCGCTGCAAGCATTTTTGCCCAAAACATTTTCAATGCGTAACTAAGTGGCCAGTTTTTCTGTGAGAAGGACAAAATAACTGTTTGACAGTTTGGGGTATTTTTGTATTTGTTGGTTTGTTTTCATTTTTCCATTGACAAACCAATCACCATCAGCAGACGTAATATATTTAAGGTAGTTGTTATTCTGGTTTCATTTCTCCATTCATAAAGTTCTTGCAGTACTCCCATTTTCAAATTACATATAAACCTTAGCTAGTTTTCATTGTGATCTACTCGGATGAGTAGATGAATGCTGGTCTTATAATAGTTAGCATTTCAACCCTAGCTGGTTTGGCTCAGTGGATAGAGCGTTGGCCTTCAAGACTGAAAGGTCTCCTATTAATTCCAGTCAAGGGCACAAGCTTGAGTTGTGAGTTCGATCCCCAGTAGGGGGCATGCAGGAGGCAGTTGATCAATGATTCTCTCTCATCATTGATGTTTCTCTCTCTCCTTCCCTCTTTCTCTCTGAAATCCATAAAAGTATATTTAAAAAAAAATAGTTAGCATTTCTTCCAGATGACGACGATTGCCCCCAAAGTTGGTTTCTTACTTTGAAAGACACCACCTTGTGGGGAGAAAGAGAAGCCAAGGTCCCTCTTTGAAGGCGCAGAGTGGGACTCAATATTCCCACAGAACTAAGATGAGTCGTCACACACAACCTCAACGTGAGATCGAGAAATCGATGACCTGTGCAGCACTGCCACGGGCTGCACACTTTTAAAATGCACTCAGATACTTTGTATGTTGCAATCAAGTCTTTTATTTTTCCATCACCACATTTCCTCTATGCCCTTTCATCTCCTTTTTAATGGCAGAATTGCCTTACAGCCAATCAGTTAGGTGGTGAAAATGTTTGCAGCCAAAATGCTTGTAGCAAAGAAGTTATTGCCAAAGTAAGGACGCCCGGGGGTTCCCTCCTTGGCCACTTCCTGCTGCAGCTCCCACTTCCTCTCCAGGAATCCCCTCAGGGCCAATACTGCCTCCTCCTTTCTGAACTGCCTACTCATCTTCCCAAACATCTCTCTACGTGTCATTCCCTATTTCCACTGACCGGGGAGATCCCGGGCCCAGTTAAACTCATCAGCCTGGGTTTCAGGGTCCCCCTTCCCCACACACTTATAGCTCAGTCTCCATCTCAAGACCTCCCACCCCCCAGCTTCCCCTCAGCTTGTCTGCCCCATCTCCAGGTCTTCACTTCCCCTCAGCTTGTCTGCCCCATCTCCAGGTCTTCACTTCCCCTCAGCTTGTCTGCCCCATCTCCAGGTCTTCACTTCTCAGCTTGTCTGCCCCATCTTCAGGTCTTCACCAGCCCTCACACTGGTCCCCATTCCAGCCGAGTCAGCAGGACCTGGGACCTTGCTAGGCAGGAACATGTTTGGTCTCCACCTCAGACGGATTGAGTCAGAAGCTCCGGGAATGGGGCCACAGTCAGTGTCCACAAGCCCTCAGGTGATTCTGATGCACACTAAGTGTTACAGCTGATGCTTAGACATCCTCCGGGGCTTGCTCAACCCTTAGCTTCCAGATTACCAAACCCTTCGACCCCTGCCCAGAGAGACCGCCCAGGATCTCAGTTTGACACAGCTGCCATGGGAACAGTTCTCCGTGTTTCCCAGGTGCGCTATATTCCGCGATAGGAAATGGGTCTCTGACTGTCCATCCCCATGTGCCCAGTTCAGGGTTCCATACCCAAAGGACACCCAATGAATGGTATGAATGACTCCTTCTCGCTAATTCTGCTTTCCTGAGGGCCCCCGTGTCCCAGCTCTAGTGAACTCCCCTCAATCTCTCCCTGGCCCTCTTCCTCCTCAGAACCCCTCTCTGCCCTCCTACGTCCCCTGAGGTGTATATGGAATTTCACTCCTTTCCCAGGGCCCCAGCTCAGGTAGCTGCCTGCTTGCTTCCCTGTGCAACAGACAAAGTCATTCTCACCTGCTGAGTCCCTCCTACAGCCCCGCATCCCCCCAGGCAGCCTGCCGCAGTGGTAGGGGTGGGACAGCTTGTTTGCCCCATCTCCAGGTCTTCACCAGCCCTCACACTGGTCCCCATTCCAGCAGCGTCAGCGGGACCTGGGACCTTGCTAGGCAGGAACATGTTTGGTCTCCACCTCAGACGGATTGAGTCAGAAGCTCCGGGAATGGGGCCACAGTCATGAGTGTGAGTGTCCTCACTCTCAGAGGGAGGACAGGCTCCTCACCTCTGCCCACCTCCATCCAGCTTTCTCTCCGGGGGCAGCGGGCTGCTGGATCCGGTGAGACAGGTGTGCCAAGCACAGGGAAGCAGGCCGAGGAGGTGAGTGGGGGCTAAAATCCAGCCCACGTTCTGTGCCCCGGGCCACTCACCCTGGTTTGGGGTGCTGTCTGTCTGGAGGAATTTTTTAGAATTTGTACAAAGATGCTCAGTGGGATAGCAGCAGCCCTGAGGGTACCACCTGTCTGCCGGTCCTTTTACCTATCCACTAGCTGTCTCTCTGTCCACTTCCATCTTCCCATCCAATCCACACAAGTCCATCCTTCTGTCCATCCATCCATCCATCCATCCATCCATCCATCCAGGAGCAGATGTGAAGGCCAAACACGACAGGCTGGTGAGTTCACTCACCCCTGCCCTCTGTTCTCTTGCTATCAGGATGCCTCCTTCCACCTTGGATCCTGGACTCGAGATTCTGAGGGGCCCCTTTAGCCTTCGCACATTCCCAGGCTCCTCACCGGACTCCTCCAGCCCCCCATAGCCAGCTCCCGAGGTGCCTGCGTCTGATCCTGCCTCAGGGGTCTGCAAAACTGGTCACACCTTAGACTCGCTCTCTGGGGCTGGCAGGCAGCCTTTCTTCCCCTTGTCAGCCCCAGCCTCCCCCTCTGCCTCCTCGCCTGCCCCATCCCTCGCCCCCTCTTCCTCCACTCGCTCATCTAGCCGGCTGGGTATAGACCAGTACAGATGGGCATCGAGGCGGGCCTCTGCCTCGGCCAGCTCCCGGGCGCTGCAGGAGGGTGTGGGCACCTCAAAAGTCTCGTGGAAGCTGGCATAGTCCACCTCGTAAAAGCCGTCCTCCAGGGTCAGCACGGATGTGAAGCGGTGGCCCCACAGCACCTCGTCCACCAGGTAGGAGCTCCGAGCTTGGCATGTCATTCCTGGGGGGAAGGGCATGGGTCAGGGGATCCCAGCCCCAGGCTTCTCTCTCCTGCCTCTCACTCCTTGACCTTATTCCCAGCACCTTGCCTCATATTCCTCTCTCCCCCCTTTAGGTCCAGCCCACTTTTCACCCTCTCCCAACTCCTGAACTTGCTCAGTTCTCTCATCTCCCGTCCATTTGTACAACCCTCTTCATCGCCAACCCGCTCTCTCCCTCCTTCTCCACTGGAGATGCCAACCAGAGAAGCTTAACCTTAACATTGACCTTGGGGATCATCTTAGTCTCATGGTTGGCAAACTGTGGCTCACGAGCCACATGTGGCTCTTTGGCCTCTTGAGTAAGGCTCTTCCACAAAATACCATGGCCTAGGTGAATCTATTTTGAAGAAGTGGCATTAGAAGAAGTTTACGTTTTAAAAATCTGGCTCTCAAAAGAAATTTCAATTGTTGTACTGTTGCTATTTGGCTCTGTTGATTAATGAGTTTGCCGACCACTGTTCTAGTCCAACGTCCCTCTCCATATAGGGCTTCCCACTGGAGCATTCCCAAGTGCGGGCCTCTGGCTTGTACTCAATTACCCACCAGAACTGAGAGCTCACCACCTCACAAGGTGCCCGCTCCTTAGCGCGGTGGATGTAACAGTTGAGCTAAAATCTGCCTACCCGGATTGTCACCCTTTGGTTTCATTCCTCTGCCCAATGACAACCCTTCAGGTGTCTGAAAGAGGTTCCGTCTCATCTTCTCTTCTTCAGGCTGACATCCCTGTCACCATTGCTCATGTGGCCTGGATTTCCGAAATTTTACTTTCTTGTCTGTAAACCAGAAGGGCCAAGGAGGACTCTGTGACAAGGAGTCCAACTGAGGCCTGATCCTTGCATAAGAGAGGGCTTAGCACTGCTCTCTTCTGCCATGATGCTCTAGCCCAGTGGTCGGCAAACCTCGGCTCGTGAGCCACATGTGGCTCGTGAGCCACAGTTTGCCGCTCTGTTGACTAACGATTTTGCCGACCTCGGCTCTAGCCAATAGGGCCCACGATTGCATCAGCGCGTTGGAAGCTGCAGCACGTTGCTCTGACATTAAGCCTGTGGCCAACGCAAACCCCCGGTTCTTTCTCACCAGAGCGCTTCCATGCTGTGCTTACATAAGTGATTTTTTTTTTTTAAAGTCTAAATGTAGATTTTTATATTTACTCCTTTTAAATGTCATCTTGTTGGATGTTGGCTCATTATTCTTGTTTTTCAAAAGCGTTTTGATCCTGACTCTCACACTCAAGCCAATACCATCCTTTCTTGTTTTGTCGCTCTAGAAGTCAGACAAGCCCCATCCCTGTATTCTCCCCCCTCTACCCCCCTCCTGGCCCTGGGCCTGTGTCCTGTCCTCCCTCCTGGGTGGGCACAGACTAGGGCACGTGGTTCTCCTTCCCAGGGTCTCTCCGATCCACCTCAGAACAAGGGGGGACAGAGTGAACATCAGCTAACCAGAGCCTGGCTCTCACCAGGGCAGGCCCCGCATGGAGGCCCTTCAGGGTCACTGCACCTTCCTTCCCTTGATGAAGGCCGGGGGGGGGGGGGGGGGGAAGAATCCAATGAGGGAGGAGAAGAGGCCAAAGGGCCCTGGGGACACAGGGCTGAGAGGACGAGAGGGAGGGGCCGGGCACTCCGGGAGAAGAGGGATGGGCAGGAACATCCTTGGAAGGGAAGGGGCTGCCTCAGGTACTGGCAAAACAGAGCTGAGGGATAGAGAGAAAAGGGGGAGGAGTGAGTGGGAAGTGAGAGCGCTAGGTGGTTAAGAAGAAAAGGGGAGCTGATACCAGTTTGGCTCAGTGGATAGAGCACCGGTCTGCGGACTGAAGGGTCCCAGGTTCGATTCTGGTCAAGGGCATGTGCATTGGTTGTGGGCACATCCCCGGTGGGGGGTGTGCAGGAGTCAGCTATCCCTCTCTCTTCCTCTCTGTTAAAAATCAATAAAATATATTTTGAAGAAGAAGAAGAAGAAGAAGAAGAAGAAGAAGAAGAAGAAGAAGAAGAAGAAGAAGAAGAAGAAGAAGAAGAAGGAGGAGGAGGAGGAGGAGGAGGAGGAGGAGGAGGAGGAGGAGGAGAAGGAGAAGGAGAAGGAGAAGGAGAAGGAGAAGGAGAAGGAGAAGGAGAAGGAGAAGGAGAAGGAGAAGGAGAAGGAGAAGGAGAAGGAGAAGGAGAAGGAGAAGGAGAAGGAGAAGGAGAAGGAGAAGGAGAAGGAGAAGGAGAAGGAGAAGAAGAAAAGGGGAACAGGAGGCAGAGGTGTGGGTAGAGGATCAGCTTGAAGGGCCAGGAAGAGGCTTGAGGGCGGGGCTTGTGGGAGAAGCCGGCAGAGCACAAAAGCTCTGAGGACAGTGGCAGGAACCACCTGGGCCTTTGGTCATCTGCCTGCAGTTCTCTAAGCCTCCTACCCCGGAGACCTCAAGTTCCAAGAACCTCACCGGCTACCCGCGCTGACCTTGGCCTCCCTGCTTCCAGGGCCTCCGCTGTGCAGGCCTGAGCTGAGGCACTGACCTAACAGGGGCGCTGCCTGTCCTCCTGGGAAGCCACCAGAAATGCTAAGAGCATCTATTTCCTTTGTCGGTGGAAGCTGAGAATCTTTTGATGGATGGGGAAACGGAGGCAGACTTGAGACCAGGTATCAACACCTGTTAAAGGCCAGCCTCGGCCCGCCTCACTCAGGTCATGGAAAAAGACTCTCAGAACGGCAAAGCCCGGGAACCCCAGCTCTTCCAGCCTGTACCACTTCACACAGAGCCAGAGTGCCTCCCTCCGGGCGGGGCCCCTTCATTGCCTACGGCTGCAGGCAACCTGCCTAACCTCTGGTTGGGCAATCTCCTCTGAAACACTAGCGCCACCGCACGTTGCCTTGGAGAGGTGCGCGTTAAGATTAAATAAACTCGAGGTGTCAGGCGTGGGCACCGCAGGACAGAGAAGCCCTGGGTGTGGCGGCGACCTTAGTCCTCTCCCCATTCCCAGCGACACACCTCTCCGCCCGGGCCCGGCCAGGGCCGCTTGGGGGATCTCTCTCAGCCTCCCCTGGCTTCTCGTTGGGGTCCCTCTGCTAACACGCCCTTTCCCGCCCTTTCCCACAGGGGTCCCCTATTCTCACCCTCCACCCCTCCCCGCCCTCCTAGGCCAGCCCCGCCCAAAGGCCCCGTCCCTCTTAAACCCCGCCCCTTCCATGCCCACCCCCGCCCTCTTAGACCCCGCCCCTCCAAGGCCCGCCCCTCCCTCTTAGGCCCCGCCCCGCCCAGGCCCCGCCCTCACATGCCTCGTCCATCCCAGGCACCGCCCTCCCAGGCACCGCCCTGCACCCCCCGCGCCCCGCCCCCGGCCCGCGCACCCGTGGCCTCCACCATGCCCTCCAGGATCACCACGATCTCGAAGTCGTCCCTCTCCAGGGCGCGGCGCGACGCGTCCCAGAAGGGGCTGGCGGCGTCGATCTCGTGGCTGATGACGAGCGGCGAGACGAGGAAGAGGCGGTCGTCGCCCGTGTCGAAGCCCACGCTCAGGTCGGTCTGGTGCAGCGGGATGAACTCGCCCTCCTGCGTCTGGCGCGAGCGGATGAGCTTGGCGCGGATGGAGGCCTCCACGATGTGCGAGGAGCGCAGGTCGCCCACGCGGAACATGAGGCAGAGGCGGCCGTCGCGCAGGGCCACCACGGCGTGCGAGGAGAAGACGAGCGTGGCGGCGCGCTTGTTGGGCTGCGAGATCTTGACGAACATGCAGCCCACCATGAAGGCGTTCACCATGGAGCCCAGGATGGCCTGCAGCAGCAGCAGCACGATGCCCTCGGGGCACTGGTCGGTGATGACGCGGTGGCCGTAGCCGATGGTGGTCTCCGTCTCGATGGAGAAGAGGAAGGCGGCCACGAAGCCGTTGAGGTTGTGCACGCAGGGCGTCCAGGCGGCGTCGCCCAGGTGCTCCAGGTCGCCGCGGCCGTAGGCGATGAGCCACCAGATGGCGCCGAAGAAGAGCCAGGTGAGCGCGTAGGCCAGCACGAAGAAGAGCAGGCTGAGGCGCCAGCGCAGGTCCACCAGCGTGGTGAACAGGTCCGTCAGGTAGCGGTACGTCTCGCCCACGTGGCCCTGCTGCACGTTGCAGCGGCCGTCCTTCTCCACGTAGCGCTGGCGGCCGCGCCGGCGGGCCGGCTCCGCGGGGCCCGGCGAGAAGGCGGCGTTGTCCTGCGCCATGGCCCCGGGGGCTGCGGGGTCCGGCGCGGGGTCAGCGCCCCAGCGTGCGCGGGGGGCCGCACCGCCCCGGGCCGCCGCCGCCTCTGGAGAGCGTCGCTGCTCCTGCGGGCACTAAAGATGGACCGAATTAACCGGGCCACGGAGGGGCAGGGACAACCGGGCTGGGTGTCCTGAGCAAGGCGCTTCTGCCTGTCCTCCCCTCCCCTCCCTCCCTTACCTACCCCTTTCTTCCCTCTCTCCCTCCCTCTCTCCCTCCCTCCTTCCCTCTCTTCCTCCCTTCCTTTTTCCCTCCCTTCCTTCCTTCCTTCCTTCCTTCCTTCCTTCCTTCCTTCCTTCCTTCCTTCCTTCCTTCCTTCCTTCCTTCCTTCCTTCCTCCCTTCCTCCCTTCCTCCCTCCCTTTCCTTCTTTCCTTCCAAAATATATTTTTATTGATTTCAGAGATGAAGGGAGAGGGAAAGAGAGAGAGAAACATCAATGATGAGAAGAACTGTTGATCAGCTGCCTCCTGCACACCTTGTACTGGAGATGGAGCCGGAAACCCAGGCATGTGCCCTGATGGAGGGTGGAGGTAGGGCGGGACCATGACCTTCTGATTCATAGGTTGATACTAAACCACTGAGCCAGGGCTGGCCTGGCCCTTCGTGCTTCTTGGCCTCAGTCTCCACATCAGTCGAATGGGGACATTCCATACAACCCCCGCTGCTTCCCCAGCTCACAAAATCATGAGGCACTATCCCAGTGTGAGGATTATTTTCAGGGGAAGGCGGTGCGGAGATCTCGGCCCTCCGCCTCTGACCAGGGTGTGCAGCACTCAGAGCATCGCGGGGTGAAAGGCCCAGGAGGAGGAGCAGAGTCCTGATATGTTAGACTGTGGCCATCTTGGGGCAGGGGTTAACCTTCCTCTTCAGGTGCAGTTTTTAACCTTTCTCATCCCAGGGCCCACAGAAGCCGATTGCTAAAATTCTGCAGCACACTAGGATTTTTTCCTGACAGAAAAATAGGTATAGTTTTGATTCATTCACACTGCATGGCTGTTGTTGGGTTGGCTGTTGTCATTTTTTAATTGGACAATCTAAGGGAAAAGCGGTCAGTGCTCCTGAGTAAATAGTTGAAGGTTTCGTTTTAAGAATTCGGCATCACTGAAACCGGTTTGGCTCAGTGGATAGAGCCTTGGCCTGAGGACTGAAAGGTCCAGAGTTCGATTCCGGTCAAGGGCATGTACCTTGGTTGTGGGCACATCCCCAGTAGGGGGTGTGCAAGAGGCAACTGATCGATGTTTCTCTCTCATCGATGTTTCTACCTATCTCTTTCCCTTCCTCTCTGTAAAAAATCAATAAAATATATTTAAAAAAAAAAAAAAAGAAAAGAAAGAAAGAAAGAAAGAAAGAAAGAAAGAAAGAAAAGAATTGGGTATGCCCTGGCATCTGGGTTGAAAATTGCTGCTCTGGCCAAAACCGGTTTGGCTCAGTGGATAGAACGTCGGTCTTCGGACTGAAATGTCCCGGGTTCGATTCCAGTCAAGGGCATGTACATTGGTTGTGGGCACATCCCCAGTAGGAGGTGTGCAGGAGGCAGTTGATTGATGTTTCTCTCTCATCGATGTTTCTAACTCTCTATCCCTCTCCCTTCCTCTCTGTAAAAAATCAATAAAATATATTTTAAAATATTTTTTGAAAATAAAAGAAAGGAAATCGCTGCTCTGCTGCACCCCCTCCCTAGCTTCTGCCAGGCCAGTGCCCAAATCTCTGCCTCCACAATTAACCTGGCGGTCTGACCATACACAGGCTCCTCTGAGGTTCCCCTCGAGACGACACAGAAAGACCTGCCAGTTCCTTCCTCCCTGGGCCTCCCCCACGCTCTCCATCCCCACCCACATCGGACCCTCTCAGCAAGCTGACGGGAGAATGGGGCTGGCAGAGAGCAGGGGACAGCCCCGTGGGCAGGGGCTGGAAATCCCCACACCGGAAACCCCCCTGGAAACCTCCCTGACACTGACCACGCCCATTGCTGCTGTGGAATAAGCTCGTTTTCCGCGGGTTCTTTCCACAGTGGGGACAGCCCGGAAATGGGCCGAGGACCCAAGGACACGCTGTCCTCACACATGCTGGGGCACAGGGAGCCCCAAGCTCACTGGGAATCAGGCTTGCATCCCTCTGTTCTCCTGTTCTGCATGTAACCAATCGGGGCCAGGGAACACTAAGCACCCACATTCCCCCCTCCCCTCCCCTCCAGTTCTTTCCCACAGCACCTACCTCCCACTGACTGTCCTAACAACACCCCCCCCACACACACACACCCTGCTCCAAAGCTCACATTCCACCTGACTTGGCCTCAGATTCTTGCTCTGGAAGGAGCTCCCTGAGCTGCAGTCTGCCCTGAGAGAGAGGTCGGGGCTCTCCCCCAGGCACCCGGGGCCCTGGGGAGATGAGAACCATAGGAGGACAGCTCAGAATGAGGATGGAGACTTTTCAATCGGCCTTGCTTCCTGGGATCATCCTGTGCCCACACCAGGGAAACCCGAGCTGCTCGGGGTGGGGTTCGGAGGGGAGGCACAGGTGGCCTGTATGCTTGACCAGATCCCGAGGAGAAACCGCCTGGATATGTAACCCAAACCCAGAATTTAAGGACTGGAGTGAGGTACTCTGCAGCTAGACCTCTGGAGGCCGTGTGTGTGTGTGTGTGTGTGTGTGTGTGTGTGTGTGTTGGAACAGGAGGAGAAACCAACACAAGGTGTCCTGAGCATAGGGCACCCCCAGTTTTATTTTCCAGGAGGAGTCAGGGGACTGGGGTCTCGGGGCCCCAGTGCAATGGCAGATCAGGGTCTCCCCCTCCCCCAACAATGGGCTCCCCTTTCCCTCCCCCAGCCCAGGATGCCCCCAGGAAGTGACTTCTGAGCCCCGGCGGCTCACAGCCCCCAGCTCAGACAAACAAGTACGGAGTCCCACTCACTTCAGCTTCAGGGGGGCTTCAGGTGTCCTCTCTGGTAATCGGACCCCCGCTGGCCTCCTGGGACCAACCTCCCACCCAGGGGAGGGGAAGGAACCCGAGGGCGATCACCCCAGAACTCTGCTCTCCTTTGCCCAGGGACCTAGGTGAGCCTTACTCTGACGGTGTCCCTCTCCCTTCCTGCCTTCCTGAGTGGGCTGCGTGCCTCTCGGTGGGGAAGGAACGGTGGAGACTTAGACCCACAGGCAATAATTTATCCCAGGATGGAAGACTTGGCTTCTCCACCTTCCCTCCAAAGCGTCTTGTTCCTCCAGCCTGCTCCTTTTCAGTGTTCGTGCATACCCTGACTCCTTTCCACATCTTCCAGGATCTCGCTGTCTACCCCCACCCCCAACCCTCAGGAAGTGCTCGCCAGCAAGGAGGCTTATTTTTTGGAAGGAGATCTGGTGAAAAAACTCCCTCAGGAATTGCTCTTCCTAAACCCCCACTTGCCACGAAAATAGGGGCCCAACCCCCTCCCCCCGCAACTCAACTCACAGTCGGTGGAGAGGAGAGCAGCGGGCAGCAAAGAACCCCACAGGGAAGCGTCCATGCCCCCGACGCGGCCCCACACCCGTCACCTCGGTGAGGGCCAGCGAGGACACCGCTGTTTCTCCTCAATGTAGCGGCCGCTCTGCCTAGGACTTGCTATCTGTGTCATACCCACTTCCCAGGCTCCCCTGCTCCTCTCCCGTTTCCACAGCAACCAGTCTGGCGACAGCTCCAGAGCATCCCCCTCCCCTCCCCAGTCCTGGGTACCACTAGCGGCTGAGGCACACGCCATCGTTATTTTTAGCCCAAGTCCCTCCTCTTGGACAGCTCAGAGCTTGCCTTCTCGCCCCCTCAGGAAAGAGAAAGAAAGAGAAGGGGAAAAGCTGGAGCGCCTGCTCTTTCCCGGGAAGATCCTCGCTCTGGGCAAACACAGGCCCTGGTGCGGTGGGGAGTGAGGTGTTTGGTCTCCTGGGGACGCACAAGGCTGGGTGGGAGCCGGCAGCTCAGCGCTTCTCTCAGGGCAGGCCTGGCATTACAGTCCATTTCTGGAGAGGCCACCGCGATCCAGACAGAGAGAGCGAGAGGGAACGAGATCCAGCCAAGGAAGGGGTGCTGGGCCAGAGGCTCTAACCTTGGTTACTAATTTGTAATGTGGTCCATAGGTGTCCTTTCCCTTCCCTTCCCCTCCCTGGGCCACAGGTGTTCCATCTCTCACAGGTGTGGGCCTTTCCGCCTGCTTCCCAGGTGTGCAGACCCAATGAGGCAAAAGAGACACAGGCCCTTGAAGTTAATTCTGTTAGAAAGTCTAGAAACAATTCAGATGTCCAACCGAGAGAAAAGGCGAGGTTAGGGCTTACTAACTAGTCATTCAGCAAACGTTTAGAAGCTCAAGTGCCAAGAAATGTGCTAGGTGGGGTTGGTTACAGAAATTAATGTCTCTCTCTAGAACAGCCCCTGGTCCAAGAGGGAGACAGACACCTCACGCATAATACTAACACTACTGCTACCATTTGTTGAGCGTCAGCTATGAAGTAGATCCATACCTCACTTAAGAACCCTCTGAGCCGAAACCGGTTTGGCTCAATGGATAGAGCGTCGGCTTGGGAACTGAAAGGTCCCAGGTTCGATTCCGGTCAAGGACATGTACCTTGGTTGCGGGCATATCCCCAGTAGGGGGTGTGCAAGAGGCAGCTGATCGATGACTCTCTCTCATTGATGTTTCTAACTCTCTATCTCTCTCCCTTACTCTCTATACAAAATCAATAAAATATATTTAAAAAAAAAAAAAAAAAAAAAGAACCCTCTGAGATACCCAATGAGGTAAGTATTATTTGCTTCCTTTATAAATGAGAAAAGTAAAACTTTCTTATTTCAATGAGAAAGGGTGAGTGATTTACCACATGTCACAGAGTTTGGATAAGGGCAGAGATGATCGTCAAACTCACACACCTGTGCCACCTCCTCCCTGCTATTCTCATAAAGCTACACTGCCTCAATAATGTAATATTGGTGGCATATCAATA